TAAAATTATGTAACTTAAAAATACATAAAGTTGTGAAAAATATTTGTTAAAAGAATCTTTCACAACGCGTAATTGAAGAAAATGTCCGATTGGATCAGAGTCCATTCAATCTGCGAATATTGATCAGAGTTAACCAATGCAATGCTGTTTTATTTCGCGCATCTCGGAAAATCTCACTCACCAGTCTCCCAAATATTCCAGGTAATCGTCCCTCACGTTTTTCTCTCATCAATGAGTCTAAGACGTTGTTTCGTGACCTACTGGCCTGCATGGCAGAACGCTGTTCCTCAAAAGTGATTCGCATCTTCTGCAGCTGAGCGGTTTTCTCGCTTTCGAGTGCCTTTACTTCATTTAGTTCACTCTGTGCCTGCTTCAAACTGCGCTCGGTTGCCGGAATTTTCGTCTCGAATAATGCCAGCTGCTTTTGTCGCTCTTTGAGAGTACTCGCCGTTCTTTCCAAAGACTCTCGGAGATTTTCCAATTTCTCTTTTTCGACTTTCTCTACCGATGTATAAAGTTCCAACTTTGACTGCGCGATATCATACGCCGCTTTCGCTTGATCCACGTCTTTCCTAAGAGATATAAGCTTTTTCTCCAACTTGGACCGCTCATTCAATAACGGCTCTGTCTTTTCCCGTAGATTTGACATCAAAGTTGCTAACGCAGCCTCTTCCTTTTCTTTGTTGGCTGCCTGCGTCTTGATCAGACGCTCGCATTCATTAATATCCTTGGTGTTTTTCTCTGGTACCATCAGTAGTTCCTCCAGCTTACTTTTCTCCTGTGATCGTTGCATAAATTGCCAAATATATAATTTAATACAAACAAAAAATATATATAGCAAAATATAATACTTATAACTTACATGTAAATTCAATATGATTTACATGTAAATTCAATATTTTTTGCTAAGATAATAAAGAGAAGAATTACCGTTTTGCTGGACGCTATATTAGCTTTCCGCCGCTTATTTGTCTCTATTAGTTCGGCGTGCAACGACTCATCCTGCTTGCGTATTTCGTCGAACCTCGCCGTGGCTTCGTCCTTCTGCTGTTGCAAAGCGTTCCACTTCTTGCTTTTCTCCTTAATAGTCTTGATTTTTTCCTCTTTCTCTTTGCTAACGCTGATCATTTCGTCTGTCAATGTAGTATATTCCTTAGTAATACTATCGTTCGTCGCTTCGCACTCAACAAGCTTCTTCATTGCCTCGGATCTGATAGAAATATTTCGTAATTTTCAATATTTAGCTAAGCTGATATAATGTTTCAAATATCTTCAGATTTAAGTCAAATAATAAAACTATTTTAATGGACAACTCACTTTTTGCAATGATAAATTTGATGTTGCAGACCAATTATTGAATTCTCCGTTTTTAAGTATTGGACTGCCTCTTGCATAGGCTCCTCTAAAGCCTCTTTCTCCTTTTGCACAACTCTAAGACGATGCAGCTTCTCTATTTTACGTTCTGTTAATTCTTCGACCTTATTCAATAATTTCTCCAAGGGTTCTTTGTAACGAGATGTGCCAATAATATCTTCCAGAAATTCTAACATTCCGGTATCGTTTTCATTTTGAGCCTTTGGTTTCATTAGTGCAATTTGTTCTACTTCACCCTAAAGAAAGCAATTCTCATGGAACTTTTTACCGATATAGAATTTAATGTAATTAATATGTATTGATTTTGATTTGAATGTATTTAATATATATTGTATTTTATACATAATAAATTAATTTTAAATGTATAATTTAATATGTATTAACTTTTGAAATAAACTGAGTTTTTGTAAATATTTTGGTATATTCTTTCAAAAAAAGAACATTAACACTAGAAAAATTCAAAATATTAAACGTGTTTAAGAAATAATCAACAAATGTAAAAACAGTTATATTGGCTCAGAGGAAAATTAACTATATAAAGTTTGGTTTTTCACAAGAATTATTTTAAAAATGATACGAAAATAAGATCAAATAGATTACATGTGTTCACACAATTAAAAAAAATCTTTTAAAAATTAAATATCTATTCAAGATTCTACCAATAATAAAACATTACATGATTCTACCTGTAATATCAAAAAACGATTGTGATCCAAATCGACTCCATGATACCTCAAGAGTTTGGCAATTTCTTTAAATTGTACTTTCTTCTTATTAAGTTCATAATGTGATGAACTATCCTTGAACGCTGTTCTGGATATGACAAACTCGCTGCCCGGAACAACATCATAGTCTTCACCAGGCTTAAAATTAATTTGATTAAAAATTAATTAGCTTAGTATTCTTATTAATTATTATTATTATATTACTATCATTATATTTTTATTAATTATTATTAATTACTAGCAGAAATCAAATTGTCACACTTGTACTTATACCTTAAACTCTAAATCATTAATATCATTACCTTATCAATAATTCTTTGGAAATGTATAGAAACGATGCAACTGTTCACATTCGGATGCTCACTGGAATTGTGTATCAGGACAGAGATCTTTTTCGACCTAATCTTGCTAGCACGATAGCCAAACACAAACAGCATAGAGTCTATCACATTGCTCTTGCCGCTACCATTGGGACCCACTATCGCCGAGAAACTCTGAAGGAAAGAAATGATAAGTCTGTTGTTTATTCTTGCACTAGACTGCACTAAAACTTCCTCACTTGTCCCAAATATCTATTTAACTTCAAGTTCTAAAAGTGTATGCTAGTTTAACTTTGGTAAACAGCTCTGATAACACTTATAACAAATTCGGTCCACTTGCATTATACTAAATTAGTGCATGCTAAAAGCTGCTGTATATAAAATTGGCCAAGTTAAATGTAGACTGTATTCCAAAATTCACTGCCAGCACTAAAAATCTATAGTTTACGTTATGTATATTATACATTTTCAGCATTGGCAGTGAATTTTGGAACAGTCTACATAACTGTAAAAGCATGACAAAGTAAACTGCAATGTTCACAAAATGTTGGCATTCTAGTAATTGATCTGGACATGAAAATAATCCATAAGGCCTGATTGCACCAACATTACTTTGACTTTAAGCAAGACTTAAAATTCTGTCTGTCTCGTTTTAAAGCAAAAGAAAAATAGAAACAGAATTTTAAGCCTTGCTTAAAGTCAAAGTAATGTTAGTGTAATCGGGTCCTTAATCACACAGCTATTGTATAACATATATTTTAAATGATTAAATATTTTTACATAATTTACATAAAGCAGTTTTTAATGTGCATTAATCCAATTTAATATGAGTGATTGAATTCATTATTAAGACCTGGTTCTACAAATGAAAGATTAATATAATCTTGGTTTAACTTACTATTTATATTTTTCCAATTCTAAGAATTTAACTTACTACTTATCTTTCTCTAATTCTAGAATTAGAAAAAGATAAATAGAAGTTACAAGATTAAAGTAACTCTTACATTTATAGAGCCAGGCATAAGAATTGGATACATACACCAGTGTGTTTACCTTTTGAAAGGGACCAATTATATGTGTGCCAGCGTAGCTCTTAAAGTTTTCGTTAACAATCTTGGCGATCATGAGCCTGGATCCAGTTTCATCAATCTCATTGAAGTTTTTCAAAGGTGGTGGGATGTATATCTCATCATCCACCTTTAGGCCACCCTCCTCATCTGTGTCAAATCCCTTGTCCTGCTCGTCGACCTCCATGTCGACCCCGCTGGAGGTGTGTCTCTTCGCTGGGGAGTTGTTGGCCATCCGGACGGTTTCTACAGTCTTCTATCTACAGCTCTCCAGCCTGCGTCGTAACTTCGCACTGTGTTTCGAGGTTAGTCTTTCAACAACATCGTCGATCTGCCGCTTGAATTGTCAATACAAGTTCATTCACCAGGCTACGATATCAAATGGATCACCCTCTCCTGCTGCGGCACTGTTGAAACGCGAGCTCACATTCGCGAACCGATCTTTCCCGCGCGATACTAGCCGAAGGAATTGGACGGAATTCTAGAATCCTGACGCGAATCCTCTAACCTCACCTTCTCCAGAATTACTCCGATTACGTTTTCCCACTGTGCTTGACGTTCCCGTGACGCACGAATATTGCGATCGAGTCAGATGAACGACAGATCTAGGTCACTATCAGGTTCCCATATTTTCAGCACCCATCATCGTATATCGCATCACGCCGAAGAGGCGTCCTGAATTCAAAATCCCGCTCGGCCAACGGAATCGTCCGAACGATAAACTCGAATTGGTGCGATAATACTCGATCGTGCGTGAAACTCACCCCACTCATGCGACGCAGACGACTCCCCAGGTCGCCGCGAAATCGCGCGTCTTTGAATTCCTTCGCGAGTAGCGAAATCGTCCGCGAAATCGTCTCCTTAGTCCTCTGACGACTCCGACGCGAGCTGCGCGAGCAAAATGGCGGTAAAACGGATTCGCTCGTTTGGCACGGTCCGTCTGGAAATAACAGAAATTTTTTCTTCCGTTTCTTCACTTCGATCGAAGATAAGCATGCATTTGACGCTTTAACAGAAAAACAAAAAAGGAGAAAAAAATGAAAAATCCATCCTATTAAAGGAAGAGAGAAACAAGGTGAGAATTAAGAAGAAAGCGTCTACGCACGCGCAGTGACCATCTTGACTACGCTAGCGAGTTCAGTGGCCTGAAGTGAGCGCAATTCGGATGTCACTACCACATGACTCCGTGGCGCAACGGTAGCGCGTCTGACTCCAGATCAGAAGGTTGCGTGTTCAAATCACGTCGGGGTCAGTTTTTTTTTTTTTCCTCTTTAGTTTCGTGTACTCGTTATAAATACGTACGCGTGCGACGTAATTTTTTTAGAAATATCAGGCACAGTTGTGTGCAAATATGAATTCTCGAGGTATATTTTTGTTCCTCGTAGCGATTCCTTTTACATTCTGATATGAGACTTATTCGTGTTGCTTGTATTTTTAAATTCAGAATTTTCGTTTTCTCTTTCTCTAATGCTCGAATATATATTTATCTCATTTTAAAACAGATTTATGATCATCGATGTAGTACATTTATTTAGAGAGAAAGAGAGAAAAGATGTGGTAGGATCAGCTGCATAGAACGAGTCAATACACTCGAACGGAACAGGTGCAAACGAATGTAAACATACTGCAAAAGCACGTGAGGAATTTGATGAATATTGCGAAAATTGCATATCCAAAAAAAGTCGCAATTTGAATCCGTACTAATAAAACAAAGCTGTCGAATCTCTGTAAGTAAACAAAGAATTAGTGCATTTTGAGTATTTAACAAAACGATATTAATTATCGAATGTTTTAACCTCAAGGTTAAAATAACATTGACTTTTCCTTCAATCGAAGAACATAAGAAAAAAGTGTATTGACTTGCAAAATCACTTGATCACATTATTATAAAACCTCCATTAATTTAAGAAGACACAACATGAAAGTGTAAGTTGTCATCAAATATATTAGATTTTTTGCTTTTGGCGAGAATTGTTATATCTCACTATCATTGATTTTACAGTATAAAAGGAAACTGGAACACTCTTCTAAGTAATTACGAGGTTTTGGATATTTTGCAAAATACGAAGTGTTCTTACAAAAAGCAAAAGATGAATCAACTTGCAACCATCACTTATCAGACAATCAAGTATCTAGAAGATACGCCATGTAAGAAGCAGAATCCAGAGAAAATCCGAGAGTTTCTGAGAGCCATGGAGCCCATGAAATTGTCCAAGGCCGAGAAGCTTACTCTTCTCAATCTTTGTCCTACTACACCTCTCGAGATTCAATTGGTATGGCTTCTTTCTTATAAATATCCTAATTCAATGCTGTACAAGATTTGTAATTTTTGGGTTATTTTTAATGGAAATAGAAAAAAGAAAATAATACATTCCAATGCTAGTACACTTTGGCTGTGTTCAGCAGAGAAAGCAGCTTTGTAACTGTTGTAAAATTCTTCAATATGATTAGTCTTGCCCTTAGTTCCTCATTGGATTTAAATGTATAAACCAATCATATTTAAGAATTTTACAACAGTTGCAAAGCTGCTTTTTCTACTGAACGTAGCCATTAAGCCAATTCCCAGAATTACAAATCTTGGATAGTACCATTTTACTTGATTAAGAAGCAGAGAGATTCGAATCTTTCGACATTACTCAATTGGTGATAGATCTATTCTGAAATAATCACTATATATAGATGGTAGAAGAGAGCGAGGAACGACTATCGGATGAAGAGGTGGAAACTGTGCTTCAAATCGTCGCGAATGTGCGAGGAGACGAGGAAGACACAGAACAAGAAACCTAATCTTAGACCTTAAAAAATAACTTATTTAAATATATTTTATGTATGTACATTTTATTTATATAATAAACATGACTGGAAATAGTATATAATTAAATTATTGTGCGTATATAATAGTGGATAGCCTTATTATCTTTTTTGATCCCCAAGATCGTCTATAGAGTCTTCATCAATCTGAAAAAGAAAAAAAGAATAGGATTTTCCATGAAAGACTTTACATTCAATATACCTACTTTCTTCCTCTATTTTTCATAACTTACTTGTGGCCATTTTTCAGGTATCACCTCAAACAGATCATCCTTGACATCTCCCTGTATAACAATTTCGTCGTCTCCAGTCACGCTGGATCCACAAGCAAACTTACTACCGAAAAACTTTGCTGCTACCTTCAAGTCGATGTCTAAGAAACAAATTATTCAAAATTAGAACATTTATTCGTTTCGCAATTCATTTAGAATCTAAATTTTAGATTGTTTTGATGTTGTGTTACCAAAAGTGCTAAGGCCAGTTACGACTGTAACGGATTTCTTCTTTCCTCTAGGTGCTCTAGAGATAGTTACCAATCGTGGTATATCCTCTTTCTTCTTGGTTTTCAGCATACCTTTACCGCCTCGCTTCTGCCGCTTCTTCTCATCCTCTCCTGTGCTGACTTCGGTAGAGCCATCCTCTGTAGCTGATCAAAAAATAATCCTTCAGTTAGAATCTTAAACTGTTCGCTATGATGCTCAATTCTATTCATAATTACCTAATTTTATCTTTTCAAATTCAGTAGGCAGATTCCTTTCTAGCCATTGCTTGCATTTGTCATACTCTGGATAATATTCGCAATACTGTAAATCAATGATCATCAGATTTTTACCAGATTCAAACTTCTAATAAGAGATATCAGTGTATTTTCCATAAGAGATATAAGTATATTGACACAAGAGTCATTCTGTTTTTCTCTCTTACTGAATATCGAACAGAAACAGAATGATTTCCATATCAACGCATCTCCTAAGGCCGGAGCAGACTAAGCATTGAAGAATGAGATTGAAGATTGAAAGATTGAAGTTTGACCAATTAGAACAAAAAGAGCCAGAATTTTTTGTTCTCATTGGTGAAATTTTAATCTTTAATCTTCAATCTCAATTTTCAATGCATAGTCTGATTTCGGTCTAAAAATCTCTTTGATTGTTAATCCTTTTTTTCTATGAGAGTCACATTGTCTCATTGAAAGAGATGAAGGAATTAACTTGAATTGAAACATTCATCATTTTTTTCTAAGATAAAACATGCTTAATTAATTCTCAATTATAAATTTTGATTGCCAATTATGATTCCTCCATTTTCATAATAAAGCACACATTTTTTACATCAGTATTAAAAGTAACGATTTACCTCAATAGGTAGCGAACAGTTTCCGCAATATTGAACGCGGATGGGATAAGTGACATTAGGGACCGGTCCTAACTCCAATCGAAACTCTGGCAGTTCTTCCGCTGACATACTTGCGCTGTCTAACCTCACTCACGGTCTTGTCGGGCAGCTCTTTTAGAGCGATCGTTTTAAAAATTTTTCCTTGTGCTGCGTCGATCTTCCTGGAAACGCAACAGTCTTTATTTTTACACGGACAAATACTGTTAACTACTGCCTGCTACTATTGACTGCTGCTAACAAATATCTCGCACCGTGCGCACCGTTAGGTTAGAAACGCCAGGGATGTAGAAACTTAAAGATCGATTTCTATGACTAGTGAAGTGACGGGAGGGTTTCGTTTGCACACATCGCATATTGAACACATGTATCGCTGATTGGCCAATTTAAAAATAAAATAATCTGATTGGTAAAACAGTAAAAAATTACTAGACACCAGTTGATATGAGTGGTGTGTACAATCAGAACTGTAGGCAAACGGGATTCTCCCAAAGTGACCTTCGTTCCCCTAAAAAGCATTCACACCATTCTACAATTATGAATTATATAGTTGTTAGTGATTGTAGTTATAAGAATTGTTCAATCACAGTCGAATATGAGGAGAATATTCAAGAGTATGGTTAATTCTTATAGCTACAATGACTGTGCTCCAAAATTTACTGCCAGTGCTGAAAATCTACAGTTTACGTTACGTGTATTATACATTTTTAGCACAGCCAGTGAATTTTGGAACACAGCCAATCATTTAACCCCGGATTTACAATAGCATTTTAATAGCGTATTCGATTACTGACTCGACCCGACTCCGAGTCAACAGTCTGTTCTTTTTAGCTGCATTTCTTACACGTAACTTAGCTCTTCTTTTGCAGCTAAACAGAACAGACTATTGACTCGAAGTCGGGTCGAGTCAGTAAATCGAATACGCTATAAGTCTTAAGCCATAAGAAATGGACGAATCATAATCTCATCATTCTCTTGGATTTCGACCGTAATTGGTCAAATTCTTATGACTTAAGGATTAAAACACCTATTGTAGATCCGGGGTTACAGTCGAATCCGAGAAAAATAAACGACTGTAATTCGCCCATTTCTTATGATTTAAAGCTTAAAACTCTATTGTAGATCCGGACTAAGTCCAAATCTACAATAAGTGATTTGAGCCTTAAGCCATAAGAAATTGACCAATTACAATCGAATTCTAGGAGAATAATTGACTATTAGCGTATTCGATTTACTGACTCGACCCGACTCCAAATCAACAATCTGTTCTTTTTAGCTGCATTTCTTGTATAATTTAGCTCTTCTTTTGCAGCTAAACAGAACAGACCATTGACTCGGAGTCGGGTCGAGTCAGTAAATCGAATACGCTATAAGATTCGTCCATTTCTTATGGCTTAAGGCTTAAAGGCCCGTCTACAATACACGGAGTAAGAAGTAAGAGTAAGAAATTGACCAATCACAGT